TAGGACTATTTACAAGGCAAAGACGCAAAACAACATAGTTTCTAGACATTTGGGCTTTATACAAAGTTCCGATAAATCATAATTTTTAGCTTACCGTAATCAATCTGTTCTTCGGACGACAGGTTCAAACGACCTCTCATTAACGATTAGTTGGAACACCTCGGGTCGACTATAATGGCCTACAGTATCCAAATCCATTTTAGCACGTGCAATTTGCGACAAATTGACATCCACATAACTAAAATCGATAAATCAATTTAACCTTAATATGCAGATCACAGATAAATTCACTGTATAAGCTCTTTGGTAAAATCTGGCTGTACAAGTACTGTTCCCAGTGGATCAACAGCACAAGAACCTCCTCTAATCAGCACCTAAATGGGATCATTTAGTGAGCAATCAATATAAATCAATAATGTCGACCTTGCAACAAACTACCTTATCTAGTCCATGTTTCTCCCGTATTGGATGATTCTCCGGATAATCGGATGATTTCAAGAATTGGGCTGCTGAGATTACAAAACATCTGAAATATTTGACGAACAACTGTCACAACTTTCAAAGGAAAAGGAAAAGTAATTCGTGTCTTTAACTTACCGGCCCTCAAGTGCTATTGTTCGCATAGTAGAGAGCCATACATCACGATCGTCTACTGTACATGCAAGGTAAATTTCAATCCCTTAAAAAACTCTAGATTTTGCGCACAAAAAGTCATGTATCAATCATGCTAATCGTTAAATTCTAGAAAAAAGCATTACCTTTATTGTAAAGAGTCATCCTATACATTGGCATATAATTTTCCCAGCAAATTGCTGCACCAATTTTCCCCAATGAAGTATTGTATACCTGAGCAGGTAACCGATAAAAGCAAGAATTCGCATATATTATAGGAGAGAACCGGCATAGTTGATCCATCTCCATTCCCCCAGACACATCGTTCCATAGCAGTTGGCATGAGCTTTCGGTGTTTTCCAAGGTAACCTTCGGGTCCATAAAAGAAGACCTGCAAAGGGGAGATGTGAATTATTGTTTTAATGGTAGTTTTCAGAGGTGGTGCTTTTAAACAGAATATCGA